TTCTAATTTTCTGAAACACCGAGGTTTGGTTTTTCATTATTTGTAAACCATAATCATCAAAATTACAAGAAATAAAGGCTTGAAATGTTTCACTCTTTGTGTAATGAATCTATGTAATATAAGACTTTCACATTTTGAAATGATTGACAAAATAAATTGAACTTTTTCACAATAATCAAAATTTTTAGATGCACCTGTTTACAAGTCTTCTTGTGACAGTCAGGGTGAGGATGTTGCTGCATCATCCAGGTAGCCACCCTTGATGTGTTGCACGTCTTTTTCTGTTGGCTTTTGTGTTCATGACATTAACGTCATTGCTTTCTTGGGTTAATATAGTGAGGACCTCCACACGTGACCCATTTTTGACAGTTAGACTCTGACATGTGTTGGGGAATGGTGGCACAGCAGTTAGAGAAGGTGAGCCTGTGATCAGAAGGTTGCCGGTTTGACTCCCCAGGCTGACGAGATCAAAACATGGGTGGGAAAGGTGAATGAGAAGGGAAGTCTAAGGTTGTCATCATTGTGTGTTCTCATACAATGATGAAATTAGTTCTCTGCATTTAACCCATCACACCTGAGATACACCCAGGTGGAGCAGTGGGCAGCTTTGTAAGCACCTGGGGAGCAATTGGGGATTAGGTGTCTTGCTCAGCTACACCACAACATGTGGGAATGGCTGGGAGTTGAACCGCAACTTTCTGGTCCCAGGTCAGCTGCCCTACCTCTACCCCATCTTGTCCCCAAACACCCACACCTGCGGGTGTGGCTGCAGATGGTAGCACCCGGGCACAGATGGTGCTAGATGGCAGTTCTCTGCTCCACACAGAGGGCTGTGGTAGCTCGGTGGTCTGTGGTTGCTTCAGGAAGGGATAAAAACAATTGCTAAGTCTTTGTGCGACTTAGTTTGCTGTAGTGACTCCGGAGGAAGGGTGCAGCCGAAAAAAGAAAATGAACAAAAAGACTGACATATGTTTAGGCTTGTCTAGTTAGAAAATCCACACTGCTCTTTGTTGTCTATAAAACAAACAACACTTGGTGTAAAAGCTAAGTTAAACGCTTGGAAATGTAATGTCACAACTCACATCTGGTCAGTTTTGTTAAATTTAGAAAATAATTTTTAAATGTGAGCACACCTCATTTTTCCTTTTCAACTGAGCTATGACAGAACATTGAGCATTGAATCTTTACTACACACATACTGTTTAACCATTTAATCAATAATTTATTGGTTTCTAAGATATTCAAGTAATATGTCAGAAAGGGCAACAGAAATAAAGTAAATCATTATAAAACCCAGTAAAACTCACACTTACCATAGTATATCAGCATGCCAAACTTATTTAAGGATTTTTTAACAGAAAGGTGTTTTGTGCCATGACTTCAAAAGAGGGATGACTTAAAGTTTGTTGTATTTAACTTGGTTCTATTGACAGGGCGGGGCGTCCTCCTTTAATAATGTTAGGGGAAACACTGTTATAGATTTGTAACCCATAAATGCAATTTTTATCTATACACACCGTATCCCTCTAAGGATACATCAGTAGGTCCTGCTCATTGGTCTAGTATGAAGTGAAATGGTAACAGCGTTTGTAGGGACTTATGAACACTTGTTCTGTATTACCACATTGCTTTATTCATCATCATCAGCTGCACAAGTGTATATTATCCTACCTGAAGTCATCTAAATCGTTTAAGAAGACTTTGAGAAATATATGCAGGAGGGAAGTCATGATCAAGACAGTCCCTCCCAGCACATGTTCTAGTATATAAAAAGTTTACAGGTGTGTAAACAAACAGAAACTTGTTGTTACATAAGTGCTGGAAGGATTTAGAAATGATGTAATGTACAATATAAATGAACTCGTTTGCAAAACTAAAATATTTACCGTAAAATACTGAAGTATTTAGGAATGTGCATTTTGAACAAAATCACTCCAGATTAGATAATAATTAAATTTTGCTTCTACTTTTTGTCTTCCCCACTATCAGTGTAGTTCTGCTGGTCCCATGTAACCCCCCACCTACTTGCCACCTCTTCAAACTCCAGAGCAATTTGCAGCGATTCATGCTTTTCATAACAGGTGTTTATTTCATCACTTACACCTGCAGTGCTTTTACACCTGCAGGGCTAAGAGCACAAGTTTCAGCTCAGCAAACTGTTGGAAAGCAGAGAAGTCACCCTGATCAACACTAATGTCAGCTGCCTCTTTACGATTTACAACCGTTGTTTGTTTCATGTTTTGCAGATTAAATTATATCCCCACAGCTGAATTAAAGATTGCTTGCTCATCCCAAATCCTGCAGCTGAAAACCCCTCGAATGATACAGATGTGTCCTGTAAATTCTGCTAGCTTTCGATCTTTTTTCCTCATTTTCACCAGTTCGATGGATTATTGTAGAAGAAGCGCATCTTCTTTCAGTAAAGATGGACTCCAGTGACTGTAGTTTCTACTTTTATAATCCTTTCAAAATGAACTATAGTGGTAGAAACAAATAATGGGATGCTTCAGGTTGTTTTCTTTTATTTAGGAAGGGGGTGTGCGGTATGTGTTCTGTTAAAAAAGGTTTGCATTAATTCTTCAAAAATGCCAAATTCAACTAAACTTTGAATATTCAAAAATCACTGCCCATCCCAGCTATACCATTGAGTCTGCACTTTTGATTCCTGCACAGTAAGATCTTGTGGGCACATTGATTGAGAGGCTCAGTTCTGCATCAGTAACCCTGTTGGTGATTTTGAACTAGGACACCGATACTTAAAGATCAGCTTAACGACAAAGGCTACTCTTTTGCAGATGACGATGGATGAGAAGTATGTCAACAGCATATGGGACCTTTTGAAAAATGCCATCCAGGAAATCCAGAGGAAGAACAACAGTGGCCTGAGCTTTGAGGAACTTTACAGGAACGCCTACACAATGGTGCTTCACAAACACGGAGAGAAGCTGTACACAGGCCTTCGAGAAGTCGTAACGGAACATCTCATCAACAAAGTAAGAGTGAGATTTTTATTCGTACACAGAAAAGCAGCTTCGGTCAAGTTAGTCAAACATTTTATTTAATGTGATTTATACTAAAATTTTAAGAAACAATGGTCTTTTAGGGTGTCAGTTGTAGGAAGGAAGAGGACAGCAGCCATTAAGGGCAGTGGAACCAGAGAAATAAAAAAGGCTTATTATTTTTAAATGATTATACTTTCAGGTACAAAAACACACCTCATATTCTCTAGAAATCTGTGTAATTTGTACTATTTAACAGAAAATCTCTGCATTGTTTGGACAGCCACTCAGATGAGTGGTCTGTAGGGGTCCTTCATGTCCCTCTGCAATGGAGCTCATTCAGCCCAGAATTTTGTGAGACTATATGTGCAGATTTCTCATGCATTATGGGTAAATTCCCCTGAAAAATACTAGACCTCTAATAAATCAAAAATAATCGGGACACAATCATGTGTGTATTAACAACAGATATGAGGTGTTGTGTCACTGGAGACCAGTATATAAGACTGCTTGTTTGTTTTTTGGGGTGTCAATATGTATTTTTAACAAATGTTTACAAACACTTGCAAGAACACGCATTCCTGTATAAAAAGCATTCTCACTTAAAAATACTCAATTGTGGGCTAAAGTGAGCTGGTTGTAGCAGCTGCTGCTGCAACCTTCAACTTCCTACTTCATAATTATGTTTGCAAAGCCAGGGCCAGTTGCTGATTTCTTTTTTTTAATTATTATTATTTTTTTCTTTCTGGCCAATGTCGCTCCGTTAAAATTGATCTATGTCTAGTAATAATTTCTAACATATAGGACGTATTGGAAATCACTAAGATCCTGGAAAAATCCTGGATCCTGGATTATTGAGTATGGACTTTGTTGTTATCCTGGAAAAAGTTATTATGTTGCTGCTTTGTTTTCGTTATCCATCCATCTTTTATTTTTTAAGCTCACTGGGGAGGATGAACACATGGGGACATTCAAACTTTATTTTGGTTATTTTGGTTAAATGCTTTTTTTTCTCAAAACTTTTTCTACCCTTGTGTGTAAGAAGAAGAATCTGTCCAGATGACCTGACTTTAAGTTTTTGGAAATGCCAGAGCAGTTTCCCAATAAGGTGGTCATGACGAGATGTAAGACTAGATCCACAGTCAACATAAGTCATTTGATTAACTATTGAATCACTTGAATGTTTGGTTTCAGAAGTCTGGCGATCTGCAGCGTCTGTCATTGACTTCATATTAGGACTAAATTTGCTGCTTACACAAATAACATTAGTTCTTTTCAAAACCACCATTTCAGGGGGATGGGTCAAAAGAAAATATACATTGAAGGATACGATTTTACGAGCTGTGACTCTAATCTTTGTACATTTTGTAAGGAATCTTGATTCCTGTGTTTGACTTGAAAGTGTTCAGTTTAATGGAGTAATGTCTGTATTATAAACTTTATTTCAGGTTTAGATGGGAACTCATTTTGCTGATAAATGCAGCTCAGTTGTTAGTTTAGTCGTTACTTCTTTGGTGGGACTAAATAAAAGTTCAAGTTAGATCAAGTCAATTTATTTTAATCTTTAAGGCTTAGGAGGTGAGACAAAATGTTTGTGATAACACTCAAATTTAAACAAGAGTTTACAATCTCTATTCCTTTTTGTATTTTCAGTTCCAATCACACCTTTTTGTATTTTTATCTTTTCTTCCTTATTCCTCAACAAATTACATGGTGTGTGTACTTCTTTCTGAGTAACCTTGTGTGTCTAATACACAAGTGACTAAATACACTTCTTAAAGCTCTTTAATGTCTGGACAGAAGCAAGTAGATGAAATTGTACTTTAGTTGTTAATAAAGATGCATTAAACCTCCGCAGTTATGATTTTGTGTTTAATATGGGTTCAAACAAACAACCATCTCAGTTTTACACACACGTAAAAACATGAGAAATCTCCAGAACAGACCTGTTAGTCTTATTTATCTTTATAGACCTCACATTTGTAATCTGTAACTGCGCACAATGAGCTTTTTTAATCTTCCTCTAAAATGTGTCGGGGCGAGGGGATGTATTTATGAAGTTAAACTGATGTAAGAGCACAGGCGATGATTCATCTTCTTCGCTGAAGGAGGGGGGAGGTCATTGTGCCCTCAAGAATCCTACTCCACTGAAGCACTTAGTTTATGATGCTGAGTCACAGCGCAGTCTTTTATCAAGCTATAGTACCTGGCTTGTTATTAAAAAAATGGCAGTCACAATAAAACTGTACAGTAAATCACAGATTTCAGCCCAGTTATTTTAAACAATGTATTTACCGTGTGGTTTTTTCTAGTTTATTTTTTCTCGGTTTGTCACTGAGACTGCAGGATATATGTTCGCCACGTTTACCTTTATGTTTGACTTCCTCATAGGTTCGAGAAGATGTACTCAATTCCCTAAACAATAACTTCCTTCAAACCTTAAATCAGGCCTGGAATGACCATCAGACAGCAATGGTGATGATCAGAGACATCCTGATGTACATGGTGAGTGAGTGAGTAAAACATCAGCCACGACACACAAGTAGTTTTCTGTTGCTCTAACAAAACGGCTGGAGCTAGTGTAGAGCAGTGTTGTTGCAAAATGTGGAGACCGCTGCATCTGCAGAAATGTTTGTCTGGGTGACCTGTTAAAATGGTGTGCATGTGAATGGCAGGGTGCAAGCTTTTCCAATTAATGTTGCGCTGCAGTAGGGCAAGCAGTGTTACTAACCTGTGAGTGGTTAAAATGTTGCTTCTGATTGCTGTCAATAAGCCACATGATTTAACTGAGGTATCAAGTCTGTTTACCACATGACCTCACGGTTGTCATGGAGATGATTATAGGTGTAAATTAACCCCTGAGCTAGGGCTGGGGGACATATCGAATATGCTCGATGTATCACAAGATTTTCTATTTACGATGGTTAAAATGGCTCTATCGCAACCATCGAGTGTTATTAGGCTTGAAAATCCACGTAGTTCTTTTTCTCCCGTCTGCGCCTCCAACTTCACACGTGTGCACTACCCCCGCCTCCTGCTTTTCCAGTTGGGGTGTGGTGGTGGTGGTGGTGGTGGTGGGGGGGTGTAACACAAGCATACAGAGGAGAGCAGCTTAGCTGCTGCGCAAAAGGAAAAACAATGGCAGTTATTTGGAGATGGTTTGGATTTAATTTGTCAGATGAGCAGCAGAAATATGTTTTCTGTAGACCATGCTGAAAACAAGTCCCACAAAAGGTCGGAACTACGAACCTTCTTCACCATTTAAAACAGCGCTATTAAGTTATAAGCTGCAGCTCCGACTGTGTTTTCAGCCTTTCTGAAACAAACCACTGGTCAAAACTCATTTATTATCCGTGCTGTACCTTGAGAGCCGTCTTGTTGGCCGCTAAGCATCGTGTCTTCGATATGATAAGCTGCTGATTTATTAATGTCGCAGCATCTCACTGTAAGACTGGAAAATCTGTGTAGTTCAATTTCTAACTGTCCAACTTCACACAGCCTCACGTGCTGCTTCACACACTCACTAACGTTGTGAAGGCGGTGCAGCTGAAGAGGATTATTATTTAATTTATGTAAATAGTTTGTTTTTTAGACATTTAGTAGTTACAGCTGTTTGTTAATAAATGTGCCTGTGTGATAATTGGGACAAAGCTTTGACTCAGAAATATATTTTTGTTATTACTTTATGGAAAGAAAAAAATATGAATTCATTCAACCATTATACAGGTTGGTCTCATTGAGCCACGGGACTCGTTTACAAGAGAGACCTGAATTTAACAAATAATGACGACAACAGTGGACAATCATAAAATAAAACATATGAATTTAAAATAATAAATGGAAGAAAATGATATTAAAAAACAACAAAAACAGCTACATTATAAAGTGATGTAAAATACTAAAAACAGGAACTTGTCTGCATTGGTTTGTGCCATGAACTTAGCAGATGTTTGAATATTGAGATATGTATCGTATATCGCGATTTATCTTAAAAATATTGAGATATTAATTTTGGTCCATGTCGTGCAGCCCTAGCTGAAAACTACTCCACATTTAAAAGACACCAGCATCGGTTGGTAAAGTGCAAATGTTCAAGACCTTGAGGCTTAGATCTTAAGAACAATTAATATCTACCTGATAGAGAGAGATTTTTGAATTACCTCAGTTTGGAGACTGACCTGATAAGCTAACATCTAATCTGAGCGGGGTTTTGTACAAAGTGAATTTATGACATCGCCAAAAAGTTATGGTTGTTCATGCCAACACTATTCTATATTGTCAGTTTTGTCACATTTGTCAGTTTTGCATTGTATAGTTATCTACATACAGTGCCTTGTGAAAGTATTCAGCCCCCTTGAACTTTTCAACCTTTTGCCACATTTCAAGCTTCAAACATAAAGATGCAAAATTTTTATTTTTTGTGAAGAATCAACAAGTGGGACACAATCATGAAGTGGAATGAAATTTATTAGATGTGTCAAACTTTTTTAACAAATAAAAAACTGAAAAGTGGGGCGTGCAATATTATTGGGCCTCTTTACTTTCAGAGCAGCAAACTCACTCCAGAAGTTCAGTGAGGATCTATGAATGATCCAATGTTGTCCCAAATGACTGATGATGATAAATAGAATCCACCTGTGTGTAATCAAGTCTCCGTATAAATGCACCTGCTCTGTGATAGTCTCAGGGTTCTGTTCAAAGCGCAGAGAGCATCATGAAGACCAAGGAACACACCAGGCAGGTCCCAGATACTGTTGTGGAGAAGTTTAAAGCCGGATTTGGATACAAAAAGATTTCCCAAGCTTTAAACATCCCAAGGAGCACTGTGCAA